CCCTAGGATTTCGGAGCTTGCCTTTTTGGAACATAAAGCGCTGCACGCCAAGCATGAGACGGTTGTGGAAAGGGAGTATGTCAAGGCTGTTCAGTCGGCTTTTGCGTACCAGCGGGACATTGTCAAGGATTCGCGCGGTGCGATTGCCACTGGCAACGGGGTCTTTACTCCCAAGCTTCATCTCCTGATGGAGGTGCTCAAGATCAGCAAGTCAAAGAATCGGCAAAAGTTTCTGGAGAAGCTGTGCGGGCAGCTCGACTTTGATGTGGGCAAGCTGGACATGGGGGAGCGGGTGCCGAGCCATGTGGTGTATGCGAGGTTTGTTACGGAGTGTCTGGCGTACTTTGAGTACTTGACCGTGGGCGAGGTGGGGTGTGTGGTTGGGGCGCTGGAGAGGTTGGTCACCGGGACGGGGGCGGGGGTTGCGCAGGCGATTGAGATGGAGGTTTTGGGGGTTAGGGTGGATGTTCTTGAGGAGGAGCAGCAGCAACAGCAGGTCTTGGGAGAGAATGGACAGGCTGCTGGTGCTGCTGCTGGGTCGTTGTCGTCGTCGTCGGTGAATCAGTTGCAGGAGGCCCCTAGGGTGGAGCTTGAGAAGCTGAGGCGTCTTACGGCGGGGGCGGTGGTTTTGTTGGGTGTTTGGGAGGCGAGGACTTACCTCAGGAGGTTGTATGGGCTTGGGATTGGGGGGAGGAGGGAGAATAAAGTCAAGATGTTGGGGAAGGACTTGAGTAAGGCCCCTGTCAAGGCGCAGGGGGTGACGGGGGAGAAGTTGTGGGAGGAGATGGGGGTGTTGGGGGAGAGGTTGGGGAGTAGGGAGGGGATGATGGGGGTTTGTAGGGGGTTTGTGGAGTTGATGAATGTTGATAAGGAGTTTTTGGTTGGGGACGAGGATGAGGAGGGGTTGATGGAAGAGGGGGGGGCAAGTCCGATGAGTGGTGGGGAGGATGATGAGCTGGTGGGAGAGAGGAAGAGGGGGAGGAAGAGGAAGAGTGATGCGGGTAGTCAGGGGACGCCGGGGAAGAAGAAGAGGGGTAGGAGTGGGAGTATGGGGGGGCAACCTAGGAAGAGGGGACGGCCGAAGAAGGTTGCTAGGGAGGAGGAGGAAGGGGAGGGGGAGGAGGGGGATTGGTTTTAGTTGCCATTTTTTTTTTCCTTCAGAGAAAATCAACATGAACAGCAGGCGTTTTGCGGGGGGGTTGATTTCTTTGGGACGGGGAAGGGTATTGATATGATTGGCGTTTTGGGATGGGATGGGAAGGGAATGGCGGGGAGAGGAAATGGGGAAAGGGGGGGATCAAAATGGTTGCGAACATGGCTGAGGTTAACTAGCTGCATAAATTGCTTTACTTTGGGACTTTGGGACTTTGGGTGGTTTATATTATTTCGTTGCTAATGGATTCTGAGATGGGGGGTCAGACATTAGTTACATATGGGAGAGCAATAAAAATAATTTTGGTGATTAAGCGGCTTGAGTGAGGTTGCGAATGATTATGTTTGCGGTGCGAGCTGGTCTAAGTCTTGAAAGTCTCGTCACATGTTTATCACAACATGTTTATTTTTATGCTTCAGCACCCTTTTCAAGCTTTTTCTGGTATAGTATTAGCACTTTTTCTTTTCATATGATGCACCGAGGGCTTCTTTTTGACGTTCATATCGCTTAAAGGTTACCAAACGATCGTGTTTGTGTTGGGTCGGTCATACCTACATAGATAGGCGTTGAGGAAGATTGTATAGGTAGGCTTGTGCACCACTCCAATCAGCAGCGTGCTTTTTTTGGCTTCTCAATTCCATTTATTTTGATTTATGTCTCCTTGCAGCTTCTGTCCCACTGTCGTTGTTTTCGCCTGAGGGTATTATCCATCTATCAGTCCGCATTCATCTTCCACTTCTTGCCATCCGGCCGGCCCAACCGTTCCCTGCTTCCAAAGCCTGTCCCGTATGTACAACCCCCAACCAAACTTTGTGGTATTTCCCTTTGTTTTATTATCCCCCAACCCCTTGTTATTGTTGTTGTTGTTGTTGTTGTTGTTGTTGTTGTTGTTGTTGTTGTTGTTGTTGTTATTGCCCCCTTCCTGTATGTCCGTCGGCCCATCTCATCTTTGTCAAGCCATCACCTCCCCTCCCTCCTCGGTTCAGCCTTCTCGACTGTCTTCTCCTCCTCCTTGTGAAACCCCAACCACTCCCCCAATATCCCCCCCGGCTTCGGAACCGGACACTCCCTCTCCGCCTTTCGTTCCCTCTGCCTCTCCATTCTTAGCTTTTGGAGCTCCTCTGGCGTGGTGGCGATTGCATTGTTGAATCTAGCCACCCCGTCCTCCCCCACGATTTGTTTTTTTCTTCTCTTGGCGGCGTTGGGATCGAGCTCCCCGTCGGCGAGGGTTCGTCGGGGTGCTGGACAGGGGAGGATGTGGGGGAGGGCGACGACGAGGAAGGAGGCGAGGAGGGTGGTTGCGAAGAGGGTTGATGTTGAGCGGGAGCGGGGGTGAAGGTGGGGGGGTGGCATTATTGTGGTTGTGTTGGTGGTGGAGGGGGGAACTGAGGGGATTGTTAGCTTTTCTCGAATAAGGGTAGAATGGGGGATAACATACTAACTGAGTGTGTGAGATAGGGGAGAGAAGGGATTATATCATGGCTCCAGCCCTGAAACAAATCTAACGAACGATGGGCTGGCTCTTCGGGGAGGTCGGGTCGGGTCGGGGGGGGAGGGGGCAGGAGCTCTACTTCGAGATATCGGTGCTGGATGGATGGAGCTTGGTGGATTGATGGATTGGTGCCCCACAATGCCGTTTTCCTCGTCTTGAGCCCGAGCCCGAGCTGTCAGTCAGGCGCGCGTCACTGCACCTTTTTTTATTTTTACGCGCTAAAGCTTACCGGAGCTAGGGACGCACGGGCCAGGGTAGTTAATTGTCGGGTTTCAGCTTGGCTAACCACGACTGGGGACGTCGCCTTTGGCGCAAAACATATTTCTACAAGGGAAAGAAAAATTGGGGGAAAAAGCATTCTTTCATCTGATATTTGCTGCTTCTTTATTCATTATTGCTAGAGGAGTAGCCGACACAAATCTGTTCTTGTTCAAGCCCAGCGCGGCGCAAATACAACAAGCTGTCTAGACAAGAACAACCACCAAGTTTATTTTATCGGATAGGACTTATCACCCTGCTGCTCCCCTACGCCACCACCCACATCGATCGCGACAAACTCTCTTTGCGACAAGCACACACACACACACACACACACACATACACACAATAATCCAACATCTAGATACCCGGCACCCTCCCACAGCACACACACAAACAAGGAAAATGAGTGACCTCGACAGGCAAGAACCCATACACCCGCGCGCAACCCATCATCCCCTTTCTGACCTACTCCCCCCAAAAACAGAGCCATAGCCCAGCTCCGAGCCTGCCGCCCCATCCCCGAAAACGACGTCCGCGAGCTCTGCCACAAAGCCCGCGAGCTCCTCATCGAAGAAGGCAACGTCGTGACCGTCAACGCGCCCGTGACAATATGCGGCGACATCCACGGCCAGTTCCACGACCTGATGGAGCTCTTCCGCGTCGGCGGCGACGTCCCCGACACGAACTACCTCTTCATGGGCGACTTTGTCGACCGCGGGTTCTACTCGCTCGAGTCCTTCCTCCTCTTGCTCTGCCTCAAAGTTCGGTACCCAGACCGCATGACGCTCATTCGCGGGAACCACGAGTCTCGCCAGATTACGATGGTGTATGGGTTCTATGACGAGTGCTTGAGGAAGTATGGGAGCGCGAATGTTTGGAGGTATTGTTGTGATGTGTTCGATTACTTGGCGCTGGGGGCGGTTGTGTTGGGGGCTAGTAATACTCTTTCCGAGGGGGGTGGTGGTGGTGGTGGTGGTACGGCGCCGGTGGCGGGGCCGGATGTGGAGATTGAGGTTTGTAATGCGGATCAGCAGATTATTTCGAGGTTTTTGAGGAAGGGGTCTTCTTCTGCTTCTTCTTCGAGGGAGGGGAGTCAGGTGGGGGAAAGTCAGGTTGGGGAGGGCGGGAGCAGTCCTGAGAGGGGGCGGACGGAAGGGAGTCCGAATGGTGCGGGAGGGGGGCAGCCGACGACGAATGGGTTCGGGGATGGCGGTGGGCCACCGGCGCCGACGAATACGGGACCGCCGGGGTCGGGGGCGAGCGGGGCGAGTGGGGGAAGTATTGGGAATCCGGCGGGGGCGGTGTTGTGTGTTCATGGCGGGTTGAGTCCGTTGATTGATAATGTGGACAAGATTCGGCTGCTGGACCGGAAACAGGAAGTTCCTCATGAGGGTGCGATGTGCGACTTGCTCTGGTCGGATCCGGATGAGATTGATGGGTGGGGGTTGTCGCCGAGGGGGGCTGGGTTCTTGTTTGGGGCCGATATCGTCAAGGTGTTCAACCACAGGAACGACCTGAGCTTGATTGCGAGGGCGCATCAGCTGGTTATGGAGGGCTTCAAGGAGATGTTTGATGCGAGTATCGTCACGGTGTGGTCGGCGCCCAATTACTGCTACCGATGCGGGAATGTGGCTGCGTTGCTGGAGCTGTCGGAGGATGACTCTGGGTTGGGGGTGTTGGCGAGGAGTAATGGGGATGTGAACAGGAGTGACGGGATGGGCGGGCAGGGGTCAAGAGGTGTTTTGATGGAGAATGACTTGCTGGGCTACAACAGAGCTGGGCCGGCCAGGAGGTATCGGGTTTTCCAGGCGGCGCCGCAGGATTCGAGGGGGATGCCGGCTAAGAAGCCCGTTGCCGACTACTTTTTGTGATGCCGGCGGTCTGACCTCTTTTTTTTTTTTTTTTCTTTTTTTTGCAAATCTGGGTTGGTGTTGAAGGATAACTGGGCTTTTTTTTTTTGAAGAAGCGGTTTGATTGTTTATTGTATTTTGGGCACATTGATTGTACCTATTACTTATTATGAGTTATACCCCCTATGCCCCTGGCAAAGTAAGCGGAAAATATGAATTCATCGCCATGTGTTGTCATTGCTTTTTAGTTTGAGGTTGAGCCCTTCAGTCGAGTGATAGTCTTCTCAATAGCCTCTTCATCAACGTCACAATTCCTCCCGGGAGCACATCCCAACGTCACACGGACTTGGCTGGTGTTTGCGCCGGTGATGAGGGATATTCTGCTGTTTATCAGCTTCCAATTCAGTTGGACTGGTTGGTAACCTACAAATCAGCCGCCATGGAACACTCGTTGGGCTCTGCGTCCTTCTGTTGCTCCTCACGTCTACAGGGCGTCTGGGATGGTGGCTGTTGCAGGTACTCTCTTATACCAGCCTCGCTGACCCCAACCTTGCCGAGCAACTCTCTCAGCCTCTGGTTTTCTTCCGCGACTTTTCTCGCGGCGAGCTGAATCTCTAGTGTTGCCTGCACCCCCTTTTCTTCGTGCTCCCTGATGCGGGATTCTAGGGAAGAGATGTACTCTTTTCGGCGGGCGCGGGAGAGGCGCTGGTTGGTGCGAATGCGGGAGAGGTTGGCTTGTTTTTTGGAGTCTGTGGAGGACATTTTCATGAAAGGGAAGAGGGTGGTTACATAAGGGGCTGGAAAGGAAAGTGCAGTTTCACAGTTGTATGGCAGGTTGGCTGGGCAGCTGGGATATGAACAGTTTTGTCTGAAACGGAGGAAGTTGAAAGAATTACGGGCCGGGATGGGTGATGCCAAGAGCGGCGAGAGGACTGGCTTGGCGGGCCGTGTGGTTCGGGCCTCCCGTGTAGGGGAGGGATCCAATGCTATTATGCAGTACCTCCGGAGCAAGCGATCAATAAAACCAAGCCTCGGGGGGCGTAGCGTCAGTGTATTGTCGAAAGCCTTTGAATGATTAGAAGGTGTATATATACCTCTCTCAACATTGGAGGAGACCTTGGGCGTAAAAGGGGCAGCATATGCCAAACAAAGTATGTACACCACAAGAATCATCAAAACATCAGGAACAAAAATATGCGTGTATTGAAGAAAAGTAAATAACAAAAAGTTCTATTTTGATCAAAAGCCTAGTACCTAAGCACCCAAGCAAGCAACAGCACCTGCGTCAGCACAAAACAACAACAACCTCGTCAGCCAGCAACGCAAGCCAAATCGAAAAAGCGGGAAAAGAGAAAAACTCACCACTCCCCAACCGTCTCCCTCGTCACCAACCTCTTCAAATCGTCATCCATCCTCACCCTATACTTCACCATTTGCACCCGATCCTTCTCCCTCCCCGTCCTCTTCCACCTCAGCTTCGCATCATAATACAACCTCCCCAGCGTCTCCATCAACCCATTGATCACCGCCCGCCTCTCCACCGCCTCGCAAGTGGAGCAAAAAGCAGCAATCTTCCCCCCGTCAGGGATAGTCCGTGGAACCAACCAGATGGTCTCCTTCCACAGCGGTCTAAGCCTAATCTTGTGTTTACACAGCTCGTGAACCATGGGAGTCCGACAAACGGGGCATTGGTCGTGGTCTTGCATCCATTGACGGATGCAAGCTTGGCCGAATATGTGACCGCACGGTAGCACACAAGGCACAGAATCGTTGTTTTGATTGTAGATGCTCTGGCGTTGGGTAGCGGGAAGGATGCGAAGGGGGGAGATCATGCAAATGGAGCATGTGTGTTGGTGATGGGGGTGGTGGCGGCCAGGGTCGAAAAGGAAGGTGAATTTGGGGTCGGGAACGTAGGTGCCCATGTCCTGAGGTTGATGTTCAGCCTCCTCTTCTTCAAGACCGGCGTCTTCTCTGTGAAGGGTGCTACGTTCCCGAATTTCTCCTTCCTCGAGATCGTCTCGAAGACTGCGCCATTCTCGAGTTTCTGCTTCGTCTAAACCCGAGACATTGTTGATGATTCTGATGGTGTCTTCAGAAGATTCAGACTCGTAATCAGGAAGGTCCGAGTCGTACTCTGCAATGTCAGGCTCATATAGAAGTGACCGTGAAGGAGAAGGGGGGTTAGAGGGGAGATTAGAAGCGACGGATGAGCCGTCCGACTGCTCAGACTGCAAGTCTATGGAATTCCAAAAGCCGGACATGGTGGGCGTAGTCGAATGGTAGTAAGTAGTAAAGATGTTGATGATGGTTTTGATGCCCTTTTGAACCCTGGGAGAGTCAGTATATAGCTGCGCTTTAATAGTATCCGTTCAGCAGCAACACCGAACAATGTGTTGTGAACAGGGCTGTTGCGTAGAACACAGCCGTATTGTACGGAAACCCGTAGCGACCAAGAACAAAGGCATTGTGTTGAGGCTCCAAACACCAAAGGAAAAAAAAAGATGATATCGATGCCTAGAGGTTCCAAAATTTGTTGAATTCATGTACAAGTTACACCGTGAAAATGGCCCCCGCGCCGGTTTGGGTACTGTTGTCTTATGATGACTTCTTCTCTGCCTCTGCCTTTTCCTTTTGCGCCCGCTCGTGCTCGATGATTTGTTTGCTCCAGCTGGAAGGGAAGGTCAGTGCTCGTGAACCGACAAAGACAATGGCAGCCAGCATCAACATACTATCTGCTTGGGTAGAAACGTCCTGGCTCGGGCATCTTGTGACGGAACTCCCTCTCGGCGCTCAGGTTCCAGACCATAGCAGTGATGCCAAAGACGCAGACACCGAGAATGGCCGTGTTGGCCTTCCAGTTGGCAGGCTGGGCGTACCAACCACCGGCCGGCGACCAGACGTGCTTGGGATACCTGTGTGTCGGGGTCGGTCTCGTTAGGACTCTTGAGGTCTGGCTTATGGCGTCGCTAGGTCTATCTCGGGGGAAGGCGCAAACTCACGGGATCTTGGGACCGCCACCCTAGAGAGATAGTGTCAGCATAGGGCTCAATTGACGCGAACAGAGAAGACGTTTAAGTAACATACCATGTTGACTGATTGTATAGGAGGATGTGGATTGACGTGGGATAAGCTGTCAAGCCTCTCGAACTTGACGTCGTCGCTGGGGGGCTCGCGCGGTCCAATCAATGGCAGGGAAAAGGGCGAATGGTTAATCCGTCACAGGCGCTGGCGGGCAGTGGGTGCTGTTCCTGGGCGAGCATCACACAGAGAGCTCCCGCAAACTGAAAGCTTGGGCCTGATAGTAGATAGCGGGGTGCTACACTACCTATACTCAAAAAATATTATGTCAGCCACAACCTCTGCGGGACTGAGATCCCTGCAACAGCACTGGCGCTGTGCAGCTTCACGGCCCATTGGAGAACTTTTTTTCCTTCTCCGAGATTGACGGCGACGAACCGGGGAACGGTGCAGCAACCCACGACCGCACCACCCTTTTTACTGACCAACACCCCCGAATAATCCGGCCCCCGACGTCTTGGGAAAAGAGGAGGAAACCCCGGCGATTCTCACCGAGGAATACTGGACCCCCGGGCGAAACTGGACGAGTTTTTTCCCAACCCACCTCCACCACCATACCTCCTCCATATCTTCCTCAGCCCGCCCACCCAATGATGAAGAGGTTACGAATCGAAAGAGCAACGGGCCAATTGCTCGCCGCTCGCCCCGGCTGCCCCTCCACCCCCGGCGCCGCCCTCCGGTCCTCATATAAGTGCGCCACCCAAGTAGCACCAGTACGGTACTCATCCTCCTCCTCCGCCGTCGAGACCGAACCCGTCTACGAAGAAGACGGCACCGACCACTCCCGCTTCCCCCCCCTCGAGAAGCTCCCACCCAACACATCCACCCTCCCCTCCCCCCTACCCTACCGGGCCCTCGAATCAGCAAAACTCTCCGCCCTCCACGCCCGCCTGTCGCTCTCCCCCAAAATCCCCCTCCAAACCCTCGCCCGCACCCTCGTCGACGCCTCGGCCGACCCGAACCCCCTGTTCAACAACTCCAGCCTGGCCTTCCTCGGCGCCACAATAATCAACTACCACGCCTCAGAATGGTTCATGGTCCACTACCCCCGTCTCCCCATGGACGTCCTCTTCGCCGCCATGGCCCGCCTCCCCGGCCCCGCGCCCCCTCAACAGGATAGCCAAATCCTGGGCTATACAAGTGGCCGCCGCCCCCGGCGGCAACCCTCCATCCTCCTCTTCTCCAATTCACCCTCAAAAACCCAGGGGAAAGCATCGCCGGGTTCGGTACACCCGCACAGTGGTCGACAAGATCAACAAGAACAACTGGAAGCGATCGGTCGCCTCCAAGGTAATCTACGATGACGATTTCGGGCAGTTGATCATGCCCCGCAAAGCTAAAGAGTCTGAAGACAAGGCCGTCGAGGAAGATCAGGGCCAAGGTGTCTACCACGAAGAAGCAGCAAACCCCACCCCCAAATTCTCCCCCACGTCTTACGGCTCCTCCACCACCCGCGAGCTATCGGAAAAGGCGCACGCAAACTTTGCGCGTGCTGTTGTCGGAGCGGTGTACACCCACTGCGGCCGCGCGGCGGCCAAATCATTTGTCAAGGCCCACGTCCTCTGCCGCGAGCTGGATCTGGAGCGGTTGTTTGCGTTTAAGCATCCCACTCTTGAACTGGCTATGCTCTGCGCCAGAGAGGAGTTTGAGCCTCCGGTCGCGAGGCTGCTTTCGGAGACCGGTCGGCTGTCGAGGACGCCTGTTTTTGTGGTGGGGGTGTACTCGGGGAATGATAAGCTGGGGGAGGGGCAGGGGGCGACGTTGGAGCAGGCTAGGTTGAAGGCTGCGATGCATGCGTTGAAGGCGTGGTATTTGTACAGTCCTGGGGAGGGGGCCAAGGTGCCGAGTGATGTGCTTGAAATGGAGACGGGTGGTGGTGGTGGTGGTGGTGGTGGTGGTGAGCAGCAGGGACAAGGACAGGGGCAGCAGGGGAAGAATAAGGGGTGGGAGCCGGCTTATATTGATATTGGCGAGTTGATTTCTCGTTAGATGGGCAAATCAATCAGATGCAAGGGATAGGTGTTTTGTGGGGAAGAAAATGCAAGTTGAAAGAGGGAAGAAGAGAACTTGTATTTTTGTATATCTAGAGCATTTTTTTTTTTTTCACACACATTACACATTATGGCGCTGTGAAGAAAGAAAGAACGATTTGTGCAAAAGAGAGTATACCAAAAAATAGGAGGAAGGCATTAGATGGGTGGGCATGGAAGAGCTGGGGCTGGGAAAGGGGTGAGAAAGGGGTTGGCCGGTCAAAGGTGTGGTATGTATGTATAGTATTGTGTTTTTAAATGTTGCAAAAAAAAACCGTATCTTGGACTTCACACTGCCTGCCCGCTCCAGATGAATATAATAATCATGAAAGCAAATCTATTAAACAGGGTATCTAACCATTCCAACCATATCCTCCACGCTCCTATCCTACCACCTGACACCAGTCCGTTTCCTAACTAAACTGATCCCCCCCCTCCACCCCAACCTTCCCAGCCCGGCCCCCCCTTATCACCCTCCTCCACGCCTCCTCCTTCACCCTCCTGGCATGCTCCTCCCTCCTCCTCTTCTTCCTCTCATAAACAGCCCTCACCGTCGCTTTGATCTGCCCCCTCCCCTCCTCATAATTCGCCCTCGCCAACCTCACCACCCCCTCCACATCCTCCGGACTATACACAAAATTCCACGTGCTCATGTACTCACTCCCCGCCGGATCTACCCCGGGAACCTTCTTCTCGTTCGCCAAAAACGGCATGTAAACAACCGCTATCCCCGCGTCCGGCTCCATAAGTCTCCAGCTACTTTCATCATCAATCGGCTTTGGCGGCGGCGGCGGAGCACTACTCCTCTCCTGCGTGGTCCCAACCCAAACCGTGCAGTACCCCAACTCGTCCGAAGCCTGCTGATGTTTTTCCGCTTCGGTCTTTTTGGAACTGTCATCCTCTTGCATCTGCTGTTGACGGGCTGCCTGCTCCATCTTCGCGTCCGCGACGCGATCTTGAGATTCAGACGGCGAAGAGGCACTCTCCGCCTTGTCGAGCTGCTTCGCTGTTTCCTTCGCCGACGCTTCCGGCTTGGGCCACCCAATCCCCAACGGCCACCCTTTGATCCCGCGCTGCATGGCGTACCCTTCCACCACCGAGAGCCAGTTGTCTGTCTTAATGTCTGCTGATGCATCAAAAGAGATGATGATGTCTACATCCCTCCCCGGGCGCAACAGCGGATAAATGGGCAGGTTGTTCGACATGCCCGCGTCCATAAGTTGGATGTTTTCATTGTCGTAGACGGTTTCGGGAACGGTGGACGGTAACTTGCCGTGCATGCCATACACAAAATTCGGCATCGAGGCAGGGTCGATAGGATGGACCTTACTAAGATCCTCGTTGAGGTTGTTCCAGATAAGTCCGTCGATGGGGCCAAAACCGACGATGCTGCGGATGATGGGGCGGATTTCACGGTAGTAGTGGCTGAGAGTCGCGCAAAAGGCGCTGCCCCAGATGCCGAGGAGGAGAGGCATACGGACTTCAGGCAGACGGAGACCAGTGTCAGAGCCGTTTTTGAACTTGCGGCCGAGTGCCCAGGTGGGAATACCAGCGGAAAACTCCTCGCAGAATAGTTCGTAGGGTGTTATCTCGAACCACTGAAACCAGGCTTCCTTCTTTGCGCGTTCTTTGGCCTCTTCTGAAACGGGCGGGTTCCCGTCGGCGTCTTGTTCGTCCATTTCTGGAATCTCGTGACGAACGGCGGTGTAGATGGGTAGTGGGTTCTGGCCGTATCTGACGTATTCCCGCTGGCTGGACAGCTTGAAGTCTTTCTCATTGACCTCCAGCTCGCCCTTGGGAACAAGCAGCCTCGCCGCCAACAGTATACCATAGACATCGACAAGACTGAAAGACGCTGCTGAGTCCCCCTTGAACTTTTCCACAATCCCGCTCAGCAGATATTTGTTCGTCGGCGCCGAAGTCAACGAGTTGAAAGCCACCGGGGGGTCAGCAATATGGGTGCCGAGGCGTGCTTTGAGATGGTCGATCGCTCGCTGAAAGCTGTTGCCCGTGACTGAGGAATAGTAGAGGGACTGAAGCCAGCACGACCCAGACACGCCCGAAGCATACGTTACACAGTCGAACAAGCCGTCCTCGGTGGACGCCAGGAAAGACCCAGTTCCAGCAACCAACGCTCTCAAACCTCCTCCTGAGCCGCAAATGGCCACAGTGGGGACATCATCGGGGTGGATATCCTCCTCTTTCAACCCCAAGTATTTTGCCAGTGCAGGCACAATAACCTTCTTCCGCCTCTCCAAGAAAGTCTTTTCCTCCTCACAGAGCGCATTCGACACTCTCACTTTAGCCTCCCACTCAATCTCGGGGTGCGTAAACGGATCCCTTGCCTCGTCCCAAATCTCCGCCGCCAACGACCCCGGTGCCATCTCCAACTCCCGCTGCAACTTCCTCATCAACCCAGGCAAACTCTTGGTCCACTCGGGCAAAATAAAGTCGACAACCATATCAGTTATATTCTCGGGCGGCCCCGGGATCGAAGGAAATCCTTCCAAGCCTTTGGCAATCCCAGCCCAAACGCTCTCTTCTTCCCGCTTCTCCTTTTGCCGACCCTTCTCGGTGCTCTTGATAACCTTGATCTCCACGCCATCAGGCGACATTCTCCTTTCGTCGGCAACTAAGCCCAAAGGCTTCGTAAGCTGCGTCAGTGATTCGTGCGGATAGAGCCAAAGAGCAAGCAAAGCGCAAGTCGTCGATAAACCAACGGTTCGGGTGATGCCCACTTTTGACGACCCCTTTTGTTCCGCCCCCTGTCGTGAGCTTGTAAAGAAGCCATGACGGCCGTTGAACGGTGCTCTCCTGGGTGATCTTGTCGTCGTCGTAACGCTGAATAGCGGTCGCCGCCTTGTGATCCCCGTAAGGCATCTGTGTAGTACCGAGCGTGGCGGTATCATTTTGTCTTGTTGTGGTGGTTGTTGTTTATATCGTTCTTATCGGCTTTCCAGCATTGTCTCTCCGAGAATGGCGGGGTTCCGGCGCATTGTTTGTTTAGGTAGTAGGTACGTTTGAAGCCGAGTGGCGTGATGTCTAGGAGATATAAAGGGACGGAGGAAAACGAGGAAATGGAAAAAAAACCGGAACCGACAAAAACAGAATCTGCAAAGAAAACTTGCAAACCTGCTGCTGCCGTCGAAGTCGCAAGAATTCAAGGACCCAAAAGGCCCGATCTGGTTACATCATCGCCAGAGGGGGCGGCCCAAGCTCCGATTTGGTGGGAGCTCGGCATTCAGGGACGGCGCACAGGCCACATTTGGGTTGGTTAGATAATCAGGGGTCTTGGGAGAGTGAGGACGGTGTTGATGAGAACAATAGGAGCTGACCTCCTTGTAGGAAGACATAAATGTAATCATAGAGATAGGAAGCTTATACCTAGTCATTGTGACTAGAAGTGGTACTGTCCGCAACTTCACTCTGACGCTCAGCTCTCACCTCTCACCAATACGTCTCTGCCACATCTCGGAGGGGTGACACGAGCAATATGTATGCATGAGCGTTCCGGAATGCCTGCAGCTCGTATGATTTGGTTCGCTAGCGAGCATGCATACAATAGTAGTATCTTGAAGCTGTAGCTAGTCTTGAAGATACCGGGGCTTACCAGATCATAGGACTCTACGCCGTGCGGAAGAAATTCATAAAAGGGGGTCGTTAATTTCGAGCATCGAATGAAGTGATCCCGTGTCACCTCCTTTCGAAACAAATGGTTCCAGTGGTAGCGCACCGACCCCCTGGCACCACACCTACCCTCCTTGAAGAAAATCATGGCCAAGAGCCCATATGGTTTTTTTTTGTTTTGTTTTTTTGGTTGAGGATTTCTGTCAGGTCAGGTTGAAGAAGTGGTGCTTGAAACAACGTTTCCAATTGATGTTGAATGGCCGTTGAAACGGCCACCCGAGGTTTTGTCCGTGCCCGCATCTGATGCTGAAAAGATATGCAACTCCGAAGTTGCTGCATTCACAGTTTTCTTCGTCCAGAACAGGCTGTGTTTGATCGTCTGAAGAATCATTGACGGTTGCCAAAAGTACCGGCAACCGACGGACTGGGTGATGCCGGCATTGTGATGCTCGGTGGGGTGTGGGCAGCGATTAAGATATCCGTACCTGAAAAGACTGGGGTCACCCTATTCGAGAAAGTTGTCTCTCGGTATTGACTCCGTGGTTGAGGTGACAATTGTGTCTGTATCTGAGTCTGTATCACGGTGCTGTTGACGGCCGTCGGGATGTTTTTAGCACAAAGGCCAGAGTGCAGTCCTCCTTCTTCTTCTTCTTCTTCTTCAAGAAATGAAAATCAAAAAGAAATGGAGGAATGAATGCAGAGTCTTGTCTAATTAGCTTCAACAGGCCCGAGATTTCTGGTTCCTTTTGGTCTGGGGATGTTTGAAGCCATTGGCAGGCTGTTGGCGAATCACAAGCTCCCAACATCCCGGCCCCCGGTCATTACCTTTCCAGGACCCCTGCGCACTGTGACGGGACGCAGCGGCCACCCACTTCCTCCAGCGCATCAACCCCTTTTGCGAGAGACCAGTCCCAGCGCCCGCGCCGAGCCCAGAGCAGCGCAGCACCAGACGACGGGAAATCTCCCAACCCAAAGCCACCCTGCCTGCCTGTTTGTCGCACCCTAATTTTTTTTTTGATTTCCTCTTCACGACGACCGCGACACCTCGTCACTATCGACAACTTCACATCCTTCTTCATCGACATTTCGTACCTTTCGAACACTCTTTTTTCCCCCGCCGTATTTCTACGCGATCCAGCGTTACCAGACCCTTTTACCTTACCTTTACTACCCAACTCCCTTCCTTGACACCTGCCGACACGCGACTCGCTCATATCAAACAAGCTTCGCTGTCTGCCCGGTACGTACGTGAAGCCCAGCCCCCAGCACCTCCTGGCTTGAATCTACCATTCTGCCCACGCACGCCCGGCTGTGTTTATCTGCTTCGCTCTCTGTGCCTGCACTGTGGTCAAGCAACATACAACAAACGTGTCCGGAGATCCCATCAAAGAGAGAGGAGTGTCCAGAACGAAGGGCAGGACCGTCAGGACCAATAGCTCCTGGCTTTGGCTGGTGCTTGCTGGCTCTAGCTCGTTTTGGGACATCGTGCGTGTGCCAGTTGGGAAGTTAGGGTACGAGGGACAAAACCAGAGCTTATTGCTGACGTTCTTTCTACTACACAGACTTCGTGCCTTCCCCTCATTACCAACCTACCGAATAACCACCTGCTTCATCCACTGTGGTGCCTCTAAACAATGGGTAAGCTCCTGCTTTTTGTTCTTCGCTGTCGTCAGTGCCGGTCCTTTGAGGACAACAAAATGCAAGTATCGCCGTCCGCTGCGGGAAGCCGACCACCACATCGCACCTTACTAGCCGCCCCATATGAGTCCGACCCGATATGTATCTCGACACACTCGACCTGAACTTTTCCTCTCTCTTTTCTCACCAGCATCACCACAATCGCTCACCGGATACCACCCACCGCATTCGTTCTCTGCCATTTACCGTTTCTTGGGAATTCGTTTTTTGGACGACGAGCATCTTACCCATCGAGATACACACAACACAACACTCTTGCCGAGATGCACTTCGCTACCATGGTCCACAACGCCACCAGATCCCGTACCAAGAGCGTGCAATTCGAGAAGAGTGTAATCAGCCTGGACACAGACGGTAGCTCATCGCGGGACGGTGCCACGTCTCCACCAGTCCCCGGGAGCAGGACAAGCAGTCTACCCTTGGGCAGCGAGAGCAAGGAGAATATTATCCGCCACTACCGAAGCATGCTGAACATCGAGGACCCCCCCAAGCTCCCCATGGCCAAACCGCTTTCGTACGGCTCGCTGTATCCCAAACCTGGCGATTCTGTCGTGGTCCACAGACACCAGCGGATTCCAATGAGGAGACCCCATGATACCATTTGTCAGGCCCCATTCGCCCCTGGACCTGGCATCTTCGCATTGCTACTGCACACTGACCATTCGGGAGGAGTCTTGCTAACAACGCGGTGCTGCAGCTTCAAACGGTATTCCCAACAGTCCCCCTCCCCCCGTCAGGGCCTCGCCAGTGGTGCCCATTGGCAAGCCCTCGACACCCGGATCTCAAGACTCGAGAGAAGGTCCCTCTGACTCCTTCGCCGCAGCTCCTTCAGCTTTGAGTGACGACCGTAACATTGTCCGCCGCAAGTTGACGGGCTATGTCGGTTTCGCCAACCTCCCCAACCAATGGCACCGCAAGAGTGTTCGCAAGGGCTTCAACTTCAACGTTATGGTTGTCGGTACGTGTTTTGGCTCTGTGTATGTGGACAAGCTCTGATCAAGCTGTTATCCAGGTGAATCCGGCCTCGGAAAGTCTACTCTCGTCAACACTCTTTTCAACACGTCGTTGTACCCACCCAAGGAGCGCAAGGGACCCAGCCTCGAAATTGTTCCCAAGACCGTCAGTATTCAATCTATCAGCGCAGATATTGAGGAGGCGGGTGTTCGTCTCAGGCTTACGGTCGTCGACACGCCTGGCTTTGGTGACTTTGTCAACAACGATGAGTCCTGGAGGCCGATTGTCGACAACATCGAGCAGCGCTTCGACGCCTACCTCGATGCTGAGAACAAGGTCAACCGCATGAACATTGTTGACAACCGCATCCACGCCTGCGTCTTCTTCATCCAGCCCACTGGCCACTCCCTCAAGCCCCTGGATATCGAGGTCATGAAGCGCCTCCACACCAAGGTCAACCTGATCCCAGTCATTGCCAAGTCCGACACCCTCACCGATGAGGAGGTTGTTACCTTCAAGGCCAGGGTACGTTCTTTTTTCTCCGGAGGGGTTGGGCACGCACCGCTGACTTGTTTGCAGATTCTTGCCGACATCAAGTACCACAAGGTCCAGATCTTCGAGGGGCCCAGGTATGAGCTTGATGACGAGGAAACGATTGCCGAGAACAACGAGATCATGTCCAAGGTTCCCTTTGCCGTTGTCGGTGCCAACACCGAGGTGACCAACGCCGACGGGCGCAAGGTCCGCGGCCGTGCCTACCCCTGGGGTGTTATCGAGGTGGACAACGAGGAGCACTGCGACTTCGTCAAGCTCCGCCAGATGCTCATCCGCACCCACATGGAGGAGCTCAAGGAGAACACCAACAACACGCTCTACGAGAACTACCGAACAGACAAGCTTATCGCTATGGGCGTGTCGCAAGATCCCAGTGTCTTCAAGGAGGTCAACCCCGCCGTCAAGCAGGAGGAGGAGCGCGCGCTCCATGAGCAGAAGCTCGCCAAGATGGAAGCCGAGATGAAGATGGTCTTCCAACAGAAGGTCGCTGAGAAGGAATCCAAGCTGAAGCAGAGCGAAGAGGAGCTCTACGCTCGCCACCGCGAGATGAAGGAGCAGCTTGAACGGCAACGACTGGAGCTCGAGGAGAAGAAGTCGAGAGTGGAGAGCGGGCGGCCACTGGAGAAGGAACCGAAGAGGAAGGGCTTTTCGCTCCGGTAATCTGGCAGCCTTACCGCTTCTTTCCCTACTCCCACGACACGTCTCACACTCTCATGATATCCAAACAACAACCAGCTTGCCGGCTCTCTCTCTCTCTCTCTCTCTCTCTCTCTCTTTCACTTCTTCATTTTCATTTGTCACGCCTTTTAATCGAACCCTCCCTAATACTTGGCGAACGATGGCTTGGGGGGACGGCCGCGAAAAGTCTTGCAGGGGCGTCTGTCAATGGGCGGGTCTAGGTCACGGCGGATGAGAGTCCGGGTGGCCATTGTTGTACTATGCAGATATAATTGGCTGAAGGGGAATGCTGAGCATTTGTACAACGCCGGGGCATGATCTGAACAGAGATACCATGCTGTTGGAGATGCAATGAGGTTTTGGGCGTAGGGGACTCGGGCTGAAGGCTGATGGTGCGTCTCACGAGGTCACGTCACAAATTGGATGTCTGTTCTACGATATCTCAGAGCCAATCACGCTCCTTGAACGGGTTTGTCTCGCATACGACGACCCGTCCTTACCTCCTCGGCCCACCTATGCAGAGCTAGCTAACCAACGACACCACCTCCGTGCCCGGACCTCGCAGCTGTTGACGAGGCTGGCTGAAGAGAAGGGCAGAGAGGGGATGGCGGATGGCGGATGGCGGCTGTTTGGGGATCATGGGATGCGAGGTATGGATGGAGATATACGACCAAATACCCAGCTGTTGCATTTTACGGCCGGCTTGGACGGGGGGAAATGGGACACGGAGATGAGTTGGGGGTAGGCTGCTTTTATTTCCATCTGGGAGGTTTTGCTTTCTTACTTTCGTTTGATCCAACTATTTGTCTTTGGCGCGGGAAACAGGAAACGAACCACTGGTCCTCTCTATCATACCCCGACCTCCCTCACGGAAGAAGAGCCTCTTTTCTCTCTCATCTCTCAGCTCGGTTTCCTTGTCTCGGCTGGGGGCCTCGATTTCTCTCTTACAACACAACAAAACCAACGACTCGGCTCTCGACGGCAAGAGAAACACACACGCAACACCCATCACCACAATCACGACGTTTCTCAGTTTAGTTTCCTAGCTTTTTCCAATTTCGCTTGCCCCCAAAACATTGCACACCTACAATAGCCTAACTCTTTTTTAACAAGTTTTTTCTTCGCACTCTTTTTACTGTCTGTGGTTTAGCTTAGTGTCTGTGTCTGAAATACAAAAGGATCTCTTTTTTTTTTGCAATGTGTGTGCTGTTAGTGAGTTCTATGACATTGACATGTGAGGATCATGAGAACGGTATAGCTAGGCCCAGTCTAAACTCACAGAAGCAGACCATATCTTCCAACCAGGTGTAGTTCTATGTGAATGTGTAGTGCAGTTGAGCCACAGATGTTGTTTGCATGGCACATATACGGTTGTCGATGTGGCTTCAGCTACAACCCTAACCCACAACCCCTCACCCCACACCCCACCTGCCAGCTTGGCCATGGCCAATCAAGGCGCCCCGTATGCACCCAATTTGCTCCACCACCATCATTGGCTCTCTGTGAATTTTGAATGTGAGCGGGCAGCAGCTGTTTCAACTCAACATTTTGATATTGGAGATTACGGCAACAACCATGAGAGCCGGCGTGGTCTTTTTCTTGTTTCTGACAGATGCGCCACTCTCTTCTTGTTGCCAAACCAAGGCGGTCACCGGGCTTGCGCTGCTGCCTTTCTTCACCTCATGATCATGATCATCGGACAAGGACGACGACGAGACGACAGTTTATCAAGCCCACCAGGCCTGCCTCGCTCACCGACCCGATCCGGACGGGCCTGCACAGGAAGTATGAGGACCCGTTTAGTGTGTTAAAGACGGCGCCGAGGGACAACCCGGCTGTCTGGGGGTATTATGGGGGGGTGGGGGGGTGGGGGGGGTGGATGTTGGGGGATTTGATTGCTGATGAGGAGATTTAGACTTTTAGGACGGTGTTTATACGGTGGAGGACTCATGAGCCGGAGAATCATATCTCGATGCTGGATATTGAGCTGGCGGGGTTTTGTGATGAGCAGGCGAGGTTCTTTGGTGAGGTTATGCCGGGGGGGGGGGAGGGGAACAGGAAGCCAGAGGAGAAGACGGGTACTGCTTCGGCGTCACCAATACCAGATGGGAAGATTGTCAGCGGCTCGGTGCTTCCAGCACTGCTGCCACTCCTGAGGTCACCAAGGCGGTAGCAATACCTACCGAACTTGGCACCACCATCAACAACACCACTACCGAAAAACAATCACACGAGGGACAACAAATTGCCCCGGTCGAAGCAACTGAACAACCTCCACCAGAGACGAGCAACGATGCAGAGAATACACCTAACCGAATCGACCACCAACCAGAAGTACCAACAACACCAGACGAACAGGTGGTCGCAGACCCACCTGAGGAGAAGTCCTCTCCAGAACCACCACCATCACAACAAACCAACCCCTCCCAACAGCCGCCATCGGACGAGCAAGCGGCAATAAACCCGCCAAAAGAGGACTCTTTTCCAAAACCACTACCATCAGAGCAAAGCGATCACCCCCGGCAATCAGATCATCACCCTCCAAAAGAAAACAAATCCACAGCACGCCCCCTCGAGGACATTCTAAAGCTGGACTGGCAATGTCTAGAAGAGACGGTGGCTAGGATACGGGGGAAACCCTGCACATTAGAAGAAGTCCGGGAAGCAGCGAGAGTATTCGACGAGCTGGCGGCAAGGCATCAGAGCGGGGAGTATAGATTCACGAGGGAACTATCGCAGAAGAGGGTGAAAATAGAAGAGGAGATTACGGATCGGCTCAAGTTTTTTAGGAGGGCGAATCATGAGTGGAGGCAGGCGAAGAAGATGGAGAGGAGGTTGGTGGAGGAGAGGGGAAATGGGTTGCAAAAACCACCGGTGTTACCGAATGGGACGACTGGAGAGGCGGTTCAATCACAACTGGCAGAAGCTAGGGCAGAGGAGGGGGAGAAGAAGAAACCATCGTCGGAGCTACGAGAACCACGAAAGGCTGAAGCAGAGCTGAAATCACAAGCGGCAGAAGCCGGGGAGCCAGAAAAGGAGGTTGACAGGCTAGTGCTCAGGTCGCAAAACCTACGAAAATCGGAGGCGAAGCCAGAGCAGGAAAGTGACGACGTGGCGGTGGTGGACAAAAAGAAGCCGCCAGATCGAATCCCTTGGTTTCAGACCATCCTCCGCCAGTACCGCCAGCCTTGAGGGGATCAATTTTGTATACGGAGTTTACGACCAACAATCTTGCTTCGCCCAGCGATGCTATGTCAAGACGCTGGGGCGATATTCTCTCCAGGCGGGGCGACGCGGAGATGGACGACGATACTCGAAAGTCGAGGCCACCCCGGCAGCCATCATCATCGAGTAACGGCGCAAGGAAGGGAAGAGAGAGGATGTGGACCTCTATGACCAAACTCCCGCTCACGAACAAGGCCCGCCACACCACTACCATTACCATATACAACAACAACCAATTCTCCCTACCACGACGACTTTTCGCCCCCGCCACAGGCAGCAAAACCTCAACAACGCAGCTGGACCCTGCCGTCCACCACAAACGGCCGTGTCATCTACGAAAAAAACAAATGTAGATAACCCGCCAGCTCATGTACATATACCTACCTGATTTATGAAAACATAGAGATACCTCGTTTGTCTTGTTTTCATGCTATAGAACTTGTAACACCAAAACTCATGTAACAACATAATGAGAGGGATCAGAAAGAAGAAACAGAAAGGATAGCATTTTAGAAGAGAAAATGGGGGTCAGGTGGAAATATTGATGTCCATGGATATGTACATAGGAGGGATAATCAAGACTACACCAGAGTGAAAAGGGCGCCCCGTGGGACGAGTAAATTAAATATGGCTTGAATGAATGTGCAACTTCAGTGAAATATCCATTCACCTTGGAACATAAAACACACCATAATGGAAAGTCAGCCAGAGAACAAAGCACCCATTATACTACTTCATTCATTCTCCCTCCCCTGAAATAACTCCCCCCTCAAAGGACAGTCTTTCCCCAACTCATCACCACCACCCCCTTCTCTCACCTAATACCTTCCTCGCTCGAACAACCTTTCCTCCTCACCCTCTACTCCCTCTTCGCAGTGTTATTATTCGCAAGCGAAACCTACATCTCATCAGCATCATCTTCCTCGCCCCATTTTCCTCAAAATTAGTTACTCACCAACTGAATCAACCCCCTCCCCACCTCCACACTCTCCCCCGCGCCCCGCTGCCTCAACCAAAAAACCTTCTCCGGCCCCAACCCACTATGTTGTCTCGCCTCCTCCTCCAACACCTCCCTGGTGATCTTCTCCCCATCCCTCACACCCACCCCCTTCTCAGCCTGCGCACTAACCACCTCCTCCTCCACCATCCTCTCAAGCAACTCCTTCCTCATAGCAAACCTCTCCGCCCTTTCCTTCTGCAAGCCGGGGCTGTCCAACCTCTTGATCACCCCCCTAACAACAAACTGCACGCCCAAGTAAACATGCTCACTGCAAAGAATAGCCAACAGCAGCGCCCAGCCGGGGATATCCCACACCGACCCAACACCAAGCTGACCTCCCCCAGATTTATTGAACAGATATACCAGCGCGGCCGACGTGATGGAACCAAGCCAAGACAAAAACCCAAGCGCATTCAACCAAGGCCCAATACTATCCGCCCTCCATGGAATCGGCCTCTGACTATTCGCGGCAATCTTCATCGCATCTGATCTCGCTTCAATCCAGTTGTTGACCAAGAACGAACAACCAGTCAGTGGCCAGACAACACTGAAAAGGGACAGATACCCAAACTGAATCACCATCTCCCTGTAGTCAATCGTAACATCATACTGCTCCAGCTCAGCCTCCTCCCTCACCCTCTTCAAGAACCTGTGCTCCTCGTCCGCATCCCTCGGCCACTCCACACCCGCCCCCTTCTCCCCCTTGACCTCCATCTGAACCTTCTCCACCGTCTTGAAAATCCTCCTCTTCGCATAAGGGACGATAACCTCGGTGGCAAAGTTAACAATCTGAGCCGTCACGGTAAAGTAAATCACCTGCTTCCTCAGCCGGTCAGGATTGATAACCCACTCCTTCGTCGGCAACGGCTTCCCCTCCAGAGTAAATTTCTGAGCCGTCAACTGAAATACATCCAGATAGGGAACCAAGATCTTGCCAAAGGGTACATAAACAAAAGCCGTGAGGAAAATGCCGAGATACGAGGTGATAAAGTTGAGCACAAAAATCTTTTGCACAAACGAAGCCTGATGCGCATCGACCGTCTCATAGTTTTCCAGCTCCGTCAACCTTTCCGCCAGCTTCGTGAGCAGTGTCGTGAAGGTGGGCATAAAAATCGTAAGCAGCACCGTGGGCAAAAAAGTCTATACACATCCTGTCAGCTTCTTTTCCCCCTAACTTCAATACCAGACCAAACACTCACCAAATACTGCTTGAAAGGCCCCATGTAAACCTCGGTAATGAAAATCTCAATGCTAAAACACCCCAGAATCAACCCCCCCAGCACCACCACGCAAGCCCCCGCAAACGGCACCTGCAACGCCTGCCTCGCCAGCCTCTTGTACGGGCTATAAACCTTTACAATCTCCCCCGTCACCGCATCAACCCCCTCCCTCTCAAACTTGAACTGCGGCCTCGGCAGCTGAATCTTGCCCACCCCCCTCACTCCCCACTGAACCGCCAGATCAACCTCCTTCACCTTCCAATGCTCAAAGAAGATCACACCCCAGAGACAATTAACCACGGCATAAACCCAGCTAAACCCACCCAGCACCAACCACGCCGCCGACCCGAACAGAGCAGGAAACAGCAAAAACTGAAAGTACGACTGCAGGAACGCAAAGTAAAACGCAACCTTTTCGCCAAACTGGTTCCTAATCTTCAACAGATCTTCATCGTCAAGGATATACTTTGTCGACCAGTCCTTGATCCACTCCTTGTTGAACTTTCTGTCGTGAAGGGGAAAAACGCTTTTTACAAAGCGCCATTGGCCCACCCCGGGTGTGATGCCTGCTCCTCCTTCGTTGACCGGTTTCGTGATCAACAAGTACGCCAGCCGGAGACGTTCAGCGTCGGTGATGGGCTCCTGCTCCGAGAGGCTGTTTGGTGGTCCCGGGGCGGCGGTGCGGACGCCGTAGAGCCAGTCCTGAACGCGGTAGCGGTAGATTTGCTTTTCGAGGAGGGAGTGGGAGGCGATGCGGAGGAAGATGAGCAGGGACGAGGGGGAGGTCGGGGTGGTGGGTGCGCGGCCGGGGCGGACCTCGACTGCGAAGCCGGTTTTGGAGAGGAGGTGGATGAGTTGGCTGAAGGAGGCTTCGGCTTCGGCTAGTTGTTGGGAGGGGGGGGAGGGGGGTGGGAGGGAGTAGGAGATTACGTAGTCGACTCTGGAAGGGGGGATGTTAGTAGCTGGTTCACAGGGGACGAGTGGAAGTAAAATGGGGGATGTACTCAAAGTTGGGGTATTTGCTGTTGCTGTTGCTTGAAACAAGTCCTTCTGGACTGCTATCGCGGGGGGAGTCCGCCATAGCTGGTGGTGGTGAGCCGTTGGGCTGTGGTGTAAGTGAGCGGTTTCAGAGAGCTAGTTGTTGGTGAGGTGTTTCTTGGGTTGAAGTTGAAGAGTTTCTCTCTCGACAAGAAAGAAAATGAAATGTAGGGAAATGACGAGGATCCCTCTCTATACCAGCTAGCCCAACTGATGGGGCCACAAAGATATTTCCTTGGCAATGACCCGACCCAGCTGAAGTTCTCGTGGGGAAAAGCGTAATGAAACCTGAACAGAAAGCGGGATCGACGTCACTCGACAGCTGAGCTATGTCACCTCATCCATGCAGTCGGGTAGCGAGTGGCCTGTGCGTCCCGAGATTTCTTTGATTGGGCAGGTAACATTACGCGATGATACACCATCTGTGTAATTACGTTACGGATCATGATGAGGGCATTCCCGGATGTGTTTGATGGGGGACATGGTGAAAGCAGTGTGAAGGTTGTCAAGGGGGAGTAAGTTAAAACTGGAATAAAACATAACAGATATTGATTAGGCAAGTTGGGACTCTCTCCACAACAGCAAGCCACATTCACAAACCTAAAAACTCGAGATGGCCATGCCATTTTTAATGGTGTCGAGGTTCACCGGCTTTTCCATTTTCATTCCATCAAAGTGACCTTCAAAGTATTAAGATGCTTGCTTCTGTGCTCATCAGCATGCTCGTGGCCAGGGCCACTGGACTGTCCGTCTCCAACGATCCCTACAACCACACCTTTGCCATCGATGCCAGCAAGCCAGGATTGGCTTGCGCACCAGGGCGTCAGACCATGTGCTGCGAGGAGCTCGATTACTCAGGCTATCAAGTCCAATGCATCGGTAGGTGTTCCTGTGAACCACTTTCAGCTCACTACACATAACTGATGATGAGTAGGCCCAGGCAAAGTGGAATACTTTGAGAAGTGTCTGAATTACGATCCTTTACCAATGTGCTGTTGTGGTATTCCCGGGGAAAAGCGTAGAAATCTGCCTACTGTAAGTGATACTTTTGGGACATCGCCTCTCCTGAGCGTGTGGACTGACAGAGATAGATCCCAACCCTCGTTTCTTGCACAGGCTGCTCCATCCTAACCGTGAGGAGACAGCTGCGGAAGAGGCCACACGAGTGACTGAGTCATATTGATGGAACGCTGTATAAGTGAACAGGAAATGCTTCAGGAAAGATCGATAGAGACTGCATATGGCTTACGAGGGTCAGAGTGGATGTCGTACCCTTACCACCCCGCTGATCTTGTGTGCTCTCTCGAAGTCTCACCGTATACGCATGGCAATGCTACCGATTGGGTGACAAGAGGCGATCCCACCCACAACATTCAAGTTTCTGTCCAGCGTTTCCTTCGCGAACACGCGAGATAATGTGCTGAAGTTCACCGTACCCATATATGGTGTTAGTCAGGCCCTGTGAATAGTAATCCCCTCTTCTCGGCAGTGTCCTTCTTTCCCGGGCATGCGAGGCTACCGCCACGATGGCGTCGATCAAACTGGCAAAATTACTGAATTCGGAAGCTAGATGGCCGTCCCGTCTGCGCCCTCGTTCCTCATTCTTTAGTATTTTCCTTTTGGGGGTCACCGTATTTTACTCGACGTCTAAGATGCGGCTTATCTCGACGAGATGAAGTAATTCGGAGCTTCGGAGCTTCACTTGGTACTGACAAAGTTGACTGCTCACCATGGTAGCAATGACGATGACTACGCATATGGCTTCCGAACCTGCTAGCTATGAGAAAGCAAAGAAACCGGCCGGTGGTTACCGAGAGTGTAAGTGTTTGCAGCAGCCGGCGTATGTAAGGGCGAATGAAAGTTAATGTTGAATAACGCCGAGACCAGTAGGACGAGCATGGTATACGAGTGGGAGAATGCAGGCAAGCGTGGCAGCCACTGGCTTTGAGGATGCATGGCCTTGTCTTGGTGTAAGTCGAGGTTGGTGGTGGGGTTGTGTCGTTTATCTGACCGATGAGACAATCACAAGCCGCAACAACTGCAAGGCATGTTTGATATTGAGAAGGGGCGAAGTTCAGAAGCTCAGATATCGAAATTGAATTCATCCCAGAACCTCACCCAAGCTTCATGTGGGCACGGACCAGCATCCTCTCTTCGGAACCGGAAAAGCCAACCGGCCGATAGATTTGTGCCAAGAATATTTCGACTCTGCAGCAAAATTGCCAAGCCAAACCTTCCCCGCTGCTGCAACAGAATCCACCTCACACGTCTTTGATGACACATCACGCAACCGCGCGGTCTCCTCGTCCAAGCATCCAAGCAATTGCTGACAAAGCAATATCCCATCTGACAAAGAGCATCATTTGAGCAAACGACATAACCCTGGCCGGCATCCCCAAGAAGAGGCGCGATATTTGCTGCTTGGACGGGAAAAGAACTCGCGGGGATCACGGATCGGAAAATTTGACGCATTTCCGAGAGTCCCTTATCTGCTGGCTGGTTTTCCCTTGGTTCGTTCAAACCGCTGCTCACTTAAGCTGTGGTATCGAGGTACTGGGTAATACATACAGACCGAAACGTCTCGATCTGGCTGCTTGCTCTCGTCGTGTTGTCGCGTTCTTGAACGTGTTATTCCCAGCCCCTCGGATTTTACGGTATAACAAGATCCGTATCCGTTGGTAAGTCCCGCGGCTTTGATGATGGAATGGGCGTTTAAAAACAAGATGCTGACATAGCCAAGCCCGCGCTGCACAAGGCCATCCGTTGCTCCAGAAAGAAACAAAAAAAGAAGGACAGTCAGCATTCCATTGCCATTGCCGGTCGGCGCAGTGCATTCAGTGGCTCGAGTTGGTGTGTACAGGTATTGCTTTTGTACGCTCTGTACGCCACCCCTCGCCTCACCACCACCACCCACCAAACTTCCATCACCTAATCAACTCCATCGAACTGCACTGCTGAGTCAGGACGGCCACTGTGGCATCGACCTGTCCAATGTCTAGCGTCAAGATCGGTAAGTTACTTTACATTCATCGTCGTCATCTGCTTCGTTTCACCCTTGAGGAAAGATATAACCACACACCGGACAACAACACCATGTCCTGCAACCAATATTCATCAGTCATTCCGTCGTTGCCTTCTCTTCTGCAGCTCTAGGCGCAAGTGCGCCGCCATGCGCTGGACAGTACAGGTGTCCGCAGAAACAGGCCGTTTTGCTGTTGCCTGTCAAGTGCTCGCGCTGCACCATGGTCGTCCCTCGTGTCCCTCAGCAATAGGGGTCGCCGTTACCGTTGCCGACAAGGATGGTGATACTTTTGCCGGACATTTCTGGCGTGGTCAAACACTCTCGGTCATCAGAACTTCTTCTTGCCGGCGACATCTCATTGCCACATCTTGTCCTGGTGTATATACGCTTCCGAGGGCAGGTCCCCTGGCTTGCTTATCAACCAAATCCGATGGCCACCGTCCCATCCGACATCTCAGATCCTCCCCCGCATCCTCCGTTTCCGTTAGGTTCACGGTAGTGCCCCGCGGGCCCCTGTCTGTCTGCTCGATCCGTGGTAACGCGGCGCATCAAGTGTGCGCTGAGGATTTTGGTTCACTTCTGGATACAAGAAGGCCCTTCTTACCGCCGTCGTATCCCTGCCCTCCTCACCACGCACTTCCTTACATAATTCTTCCTTCTTCCCTCCATCCCACGTTGGCACCTTGCCTGCATCTGTCCTGCACCACCCACTTGCATCTTGTTATTATCTGTTGTTGCCGTTGTAAGTTCTCGGTCTCCGGCTTTCCTTGCTGTTGGACGTTGGATCTCTCTCGGCCTGCTGGTGCTTGTGTTTGCAAGGACGGCGTATATCCCCATCCGGTAGCATGCCTTGGATTTATAATCTGTCCAACCCAACATGTCCTACCTTCGCAAGCAAACCAGCAGCGTGCGTATTGACCAATACCACCCTCACCTTATATCTCCGGGCTCCGAGGATGTTAATACGGCACCGTTGTCTCTTATTCAGTCCGAGGTCTTTTTTGACCCTTTCACTCTTTCAGCATTTCTTTCCCCTCCCCACATTTGACAATGTGTGGTTGCTTGGAAATATATTTATTTTTACCGTTGCACATTACACAAGATACCTGAACAGGCTGAGTGTACTGACCTATTTTAATTCATAGAGCCTATTGCTCGAGAAGATCCAGCTGTGCCCTCGTCAGTTGCTGCCCCAGTGTTAGCACCACCCCAACACAGCGGTTTACAACCACCTCAAACTTTCCAAAACCATTCACACGTGCAGCCTGAGGGTCCTGGGGATAACAGAACCTCACCTGCTACAACAGTGGCCAGCCACCCTCCGCCACCACATGGATATAGCCACGCACCATTGCAACAAGGTGAGGCTTACATCCATCCAGAGCTACGATCGGCTCACGATCTTGCACCTCCTCCTGGCTACGCACACCCGCCTGCCATGATCCCCGCCGGTGTGCCCCCTCCACCTGAACAAGTAGCCGTCATGTCTGGTCCTACTGCCGTCATTGCTCCAACAGCCGGCATGATGGACAATGGAGAGACGGCCGACGGAAGAAAAAAGCGTGAGCTTTCCCAGTCTAAACGCGCCGCCCAAAACAGAGCCGCACAGGTGAGTTATCCTCCCGTTTCGTGAACCAATTGTTGCCTGCGACTTGTAACAACAAGCTTGGCGATCAATTTTACCCCTTACCTTACGTAAACAGTGCTGACTGATCAATGAACAGCGAGCATTCCGCCAAAGAAAAGAAGGCTACATCAAGAAGCTTGAGCAGCAGGTTGCGGAATTCAACCAGATGGAGGAGAGCGTCAAGGCGATGCAGGCCGAGAATTTTCAGCTGAGGGAGTACATCATCCACCTACAGTCGCGGTTGCTAGAGAGTCAAGGGAGTTTCCCGCCGCCGCCGGAGAATATCAGTCTTGCTCATCCTAGCAGTGTTCAGGGGAGAGCTCCTGAGGGTGGTGCTGCGGGTGCGGTTCAACCGCCGCCGGGGGCTGCTCAAGGTCAGCAGCAGCCAGTGCCGGCGCCGAATCCCCTGGAGGTTGCCGCGCAGGCCGTTGCGGGGTTGAGTAGGACTAGTGAGCAGGGCCATAGAGGGGGGCAGCAAGTGAATGATCCGTACGCCGGGTTGAGGGCTGTGGCGGCGATGAGGGGGGAGGGGGAAGATGTTAGCACTACGGAGGAGATTACGAGGCAGTTGCAAGGGGAGGGGGGGCAGGAGGGGAACCTGCCTGGGGCTGCTATGTAGAGACTGGTCGCAGCGGTGATGGATGGAGAGGGGATGGATGGGGGTTTGGGTGAGGATGAGGGGGGTGGGAAGAAGAAGGTTAGAAGAGGCAAAAGGAAAGTCGGGGGGGGGGGGGGGGTACATACGTAATGTTTTTCTTGTTTGGGTTTTGTCTCGAGCGTTGGAGGTTGTTTGATATTGTTTGAGATGGTGAGGTGCTTTTTAGTACCCTGAGCGAGAAGCTTCTTCTTTGATATATGGTTTAGTTCCTGTTTGGTTTCTTTTGGGCGTTGGGTTTGCAAGGGGTGAGGAATTTGCGGTGTTGATTTTCTTAGCGGGATGCCAGACGAGCTACCAGTAGCCTTTGGGGTGAGATACCTTAGTTAGGTAGATTTCTCGTTTGGGGGCTTGTGGGATTAGTGTCGAGAATACTGATTTTATAATTATCATGATTTTTCTTATCTGCTATGTGATGATGTGTTTTGTTTGGGGAAGGAAAGTTATGGGGAGCATCTTAACTTGAAAATAAATGGCATTGTAAAAGTAAGGTAATGTGTGTGTATTAGATCATGAACTGTGCCTCAAATGAAAACCAACAGGTCTGTTCGCTCTACCTTTCAAGTCCTATTCTTGTTTCAAAAGGATACAAGTTAACAATAATCATATGTTATATTGACCTGTGATGCCGGTTATTTTGTTGGAAGCGTGCCCGGTGGAAGTCACGCATGCAATTTTGAGGACATAAAAACCATTGCGGTGTTTGAAGTTTTGTAATTTTCTACTTCCCCTCTCTTCTCGCCCTCGAATCTCCAACCAAGAAAAAAAAATAGGTATCACAACTCTGTCGCCCTCTAGGCGCTATGAGGAATAGAATTAGAACACAAAGTAAAACAAACCCAAAAAGAATAAAAAAATTCCAAATGCTTGCTTGCTTTGCCCGGTGGTGGTGGGCTGGTTTCGCCAACCCCTTTCCAAAACCCAAATCCAGTCCCAGTAGAATCGAATATTTACACAAATGAAATCTCTTTCCCCCTCCATCTCGCTGAAATGGTCGTCATTGTTGTCGTTGTGTGGTAGTGTGCTCTAAACCGCCCTGTCCCAGACAGGCAGCGGTGTTCATCCTTCAAAAGGACCAAAAGATTGTCAAGAATTGAAAGATATATCCCCTCTAAATGAATGTACGAGTTGGTCCCTGCCTTTTGTTCCCCTAAGGATCAACAACCTCCACCAACTCACTCCTCCTATTCTCCCCCCCGTTCACCACCATCGGCACCCCAAGTTTCGTCCCCCTCTTCAAAATCTCCACCTGAACCCTCCCCCCTCCCACCGTCGCGCTCCTCCCCCTTATCGCCCCCGACTTTGCAGAACTCGACATTGTCGCCCCTTGCCCGAGCGGCCGGAGCATATTCCTCTGTTGTCGGGAGATACTAATCTGTCTCGCTATCGAGATTTCAACTGCTGCCTTGAGAGCAACGTCGTCTTCTTCCACTGGCGGCACTTTTGGCTTGTGCTCCAAGGGCCGTAAAGTATCGAGGGAGGGACTGGTAGTTACTGACGAGACAGCCGACTGCTTCGAGCTATCTGACGAGGAGGCGGTGGAGGAGGGAGGGGAAATCATCGTCCATGTTGGCTCTGGCACTGCGGGGCGGAGCGGGATGGCAGTTACTGCTGCTCTGGCTGATAACGGCTCGTAATCCTCGTCGGCGAGGGAGGAGGTTGTGGCGAAGCTGGCAGGTGAGTCGAGGATGAGGGCCGAGTTATTGGGTCCAAAGTAGAAGGGGTTTGTTGTTGGTGGAGGTTGGCGGGGTGGGTTTAGCTGGGCTTGTTGCTGCTCACGGAGCTTTTCAACTTGAGCCGCACGGTTGATTTCGTCCATCGCTCGCGGCGAAACGATCCTGACTGTTTTGCGCTCTTTTTTCGCCGCCTCTGGTGAGCCTTCTTGGGTGCTGAAAAAGTTTGCTCTGGCTGGTGATGGGAGAACCGAAGGCGAGGTGTTGGATCGCTGAAGTTTCCGTGGTGGAGGAGCGAGCGAGTTGGTCGAGGACATGGCCTGGGGGAAGAGGGTGAATCCTGGAGATTTCATCGGTTGCGGGGATGTGGCACGCCGAGGTCGTATCCTTTCTTCTTCCTCTTGGTCCTTGATCGTCTTCAGCTTTTCCAACGTCGCTTGTCGTCTTTCCAATAACGAGGATTTGGACTGTGGTGATGTCGTGCCGCTGGGGTTCAAGACGCCGCTGAACATGATGCTGTAGCGTTCTAACCTGACGTCTGGGATCTCCAGGTCTAGCAACATGGGCGCTTTGGAGGGAGAGCTTCCCGGCAATGGCTGTAAGCTGTTCAACTGCTCTTCTGTCCTTCTCAGGTCTTGTTGGGATGAGGTTTCCTTCAAAGTGTTGGACCTAACCACGATAGGCTTGTGTTTCGGGGCCTTTTTGCCGCTAACTGTTTTGCTTCTTGTCGGGACATTGTCTTCTGCAGGACCAGTAACCGTGATCGACACAGTACTTTGGTTTGCTTCGGCGGTCTCCATCGTCTTTGCTGGCTCGGCATGCTTCCTCCCAAATAACGACCCGAACAGCCTCCTCTTTTGAGTCTTCGTCCTTTGAACCGTGGGCTCTGACGTCTTCTGTACTGGCGGCGGTGATGGTGATCTCTGAACGTTTGCCTCGACCTGTGCCTGGTAGCCTATGTTCTGAGTGGAGCCATTCCAACTCCCAGCATAGCCGACAACCTGTGTGGGACTACTCAAAGCCATACCGATGGGAATCTCCCCAGAGTGAAAAGACTCTGGCGTCATGACCCGAGAAGGAACTGAAAAGTTGGGTGCCGGTGATGGTGCTCTCATTCTGCCTGGACTAGACTCGGGTGTAAAGGGTCCAGATCCCTTGACGCCAATGATATATGGCTGGAGCCCCTTGCCCTTGGAGCCCATGTTCAAAGCCATGTCGTCCCTGGACTGTCGTTTGTCAAAATTTGGTCTTGAGCCAGCAGCCGCCTTGCTGGATGGTCCTGAAGAGGTGCTTGGCCTCGCTGGCATGACAGGCGGGACTGTGTTGACCGCCACGGCAGCAGCAACGGCCGTAGATGTTTTGTTGGAGGGTGTTTTGGGCCGGGGAGGAATGGGGAGAGGACGGTCAAGATAGGGGTTCCGCCCTCCGGGAAACGCGATGGGGGGGATGTCTGCATTTTGAACAACTGGACGGCTGGGCTGTCTGGAGCTGGTGCTTGTTGTATCGCGCGGATCTGATACAGATCCTGGTCCTTGGACTGTGGAGGGGCCCGTCGGACCGTGCGTTTCTCGACCGTCGACCTCAGCTCCTGCATCTTGGGCTGTTGAGGTGGCACGGCGCCTAGCCGCTTTCAACATGGTGGCCGTTTAACCCAGGAACCACTGCAACCACTCAGGGGCCCTGCAGGTCACTTTTGCTGCAGGAAGTCCCGGAGCTGGTCCCTGTCGACGGGGTAGTTTCGAAAAATATCGTCTAATTCACGGAGGGGTACCCGTTGGACGAATCGAGAAGGCAGATGGCCCTTTGTTGTTGTAGGGACGCCGCAGACGCCGGAGAACGAAAATACAGCCTCATTAAAGGCCAGCAGCCAAACAAGAGGCAGAGGCTCAGGAAGAGTCCTGAGTGGAAGACAACGGGAGATTATCACCTACATATCTTTAGCCACTCATCTGTACAGGCCGTCCCAAGCAGCCATCCAGCCGCTTGTGTTTTGGGAAGCAGCAGCCTTGTTGAGCCTCGTGTCTGACACTCGACATTTTGAGCCTGAAGCCGTGTCAACATGTCGACGAGCGAATTTCGAGCCTTCTGACCACGCTGTCAGTCAGAGAAGGGCGGCGGTTATTCTGGGTGAGGTTGATCGCCCACAGGGGTCGTGGACACACCGAGACCCCTGGGCAGCCCGTTGAGGGTTCATGTCCTGCAAAGGGCAGCACATCGTCCATGCACCCCGGCATTCGAACGAACGATGAGGGGCCGCAACCGACCCATGCTGCGGGAGGACATCCTTGTCAGGCCCCGCTGCAGAATCTGTGTCTCAGAACTTCACCATCTCCCCCCTCCCCTCCTTTCGTGTGCTGGCTCTCCCCAGTCCCCGTGCCATCCGGCATCTTTGTCGTCGATATGTCGTTACACTGCTGGATGCAGGCGCGGAGCGATGGGCCGCCGACTCGACCATACAACTTCCGCGGGCCGCTCTCGAGACGGCCTGGTACTATACAGGCTCAATGTTGTGGACTACCTTGGTCATTTCCTGGTATAAGCCGCCTCCTCCATGCGTAGTTGGTCACCACATGAGCGTCTGTTATTTTGATGATGCCGATCCCAACTGTGAGACAACCCCTCTTTGGTTAGTTGGTGCTTGGGATGGTGGCTTGCTGCAGGAACAACAAAACTGCATGCGGCATCTGATGAGTTGGACATGTTGAAGAGAAATGATTCCGCTCCTTCAAGGGACAACAACACTAGCCTTCACTGCGGAGCCGGCCGTTTCTTCAAGACAACGACGCCAAGCCTGATATGTTCCGCATCGTAACCAAGATGGGCTTTTATTAGCGATTGCTACGAGTCAAATGTTTTGGTGCCATTGGAATAATTTGCTGTCTGAGCCGAGCTGACTACATTGGTAATATCGGGGCTCCTAAGAGTTAATGGCCTCAGTCATCATGCGAAACAGGCAAGTGGTGGCTTGACCGCTGAAGGGAAATTCATGATGTTTGTCGTTGGCCATAGCTGTGGAGACATGCTGTATCAAACATGCCAACTCGTTCATGCTTCAACAACCCAGTCGACAACGGCCATAAAGAAATTTGGCATCTTCGGACCGTGCGGGTGTTGCAGTGTCGTCTCGTCTGAAGTTGAAGTCGAAGTTGTCAAGTGCCAAGTATTGCCGAAGACTTTGTTTCGTAGTGACAAACAGGGTTAGGCCGTAGAGCTACGTCTCAGAAATACATACGGCCCCGCCAACCTCGGACGGACGATCGCCTGGGGATGAGATTGAGAATGAAATGATTGCTGATGTCTTCGAGTAAGATTTTGGTGAAGAAGAGAAGGATTACCCGCTTGGATGGGTAAATCAGTTTCGATCTCGGGCTTCTAGAACATTGTTTGAGCAGCGGCGGCTTGCGTGATTCTTCATGATCTCCTTCTGAGCGTCTCGGATTTGTACCAGCACACACACATGTCTCGACTCTTTTGCTTCAGCGCGTTGGCTAAATAGAAGGTTGTTCAGCTGTGTCCAACTCGAGAGAATCGACAAGAAGGATGCGGCGGACAATGGTAGCGAGCTTCCTCCGGTGATGACGATGGCCCCTCGAATATCGGATAATGTCTCCAGAGAACAACTCACTCCGGTCTCCATTTTTGGAGTTGAGGATTTCTCTTGGCCGTAGCCACCGATGCGTCACGTTTGGGTCGTCATCCTAGTGGCATATCGCAGACCTTATCGCAAGATGATCACAGCGGGCTGGGCTGTTTTCATGCTCAATTGAGCATATGAGGCGTGGTAACCGTCATTGGGTGGTCGGACAGAAAATGACAAAGAAAAAAGCTTTCTCGGATGCTCCCGCCGAATGTTGTGAAATTGCCGAGCCCGCCAGCACACATGAGGCTCCATTCAATCGAGGGGCTGCTGCAATCAGTTGCTTGAGTGACGACTGGTGGACCGCTCCCAACACTGGCGGTCAAAAAGGATAGTGTAGGTGGCTTACCTAATGCAAACTCAACGCTGCAGTCCCTCACTGTGGTAGGCTGGTGTGCTTCTCCCGTGCCCGTCTTCAGCAAAACGGCCTCCGCTGGCGGGGTAAATTGGAATGAGTGAAAGGCCCAGAAACCGATCGTCGTCGGCACCTGGAACCACCGAACAACTTCTTTTCGCGCGCCCCTCCCCCATCAACAACAACAACACCAACAACAACACAACACTCGCCCTAACATTGGCATCGTCTCTCCCTAATAAATCCCCTCACATCACCGAACCAGACACACAACAGCAACCTACACATCATGTCCTGGCAAGGTACGTCGTTTTGTTTTAACCCGCGCGGAAGCAAAGCTTGGGGAAACAACCCCACCTTGGGATATTCAGGAGTCGGTTTAGCTAACCTTACCACCACAACAACAGCTTATGTTGACTCGAGGTACGAACCACTACTTCACCATCCGGAACATCGATGCCCATAGAATCCCTCCTATTACCACAGTAATCTAACATTTCTCTTCCCCCCGCCAGCCTCGTCGGCTCCGGCCACATCGACAAAGCCGCCATCGTCAGCGCCGCTGGCGACAGCACTTGGGCCGCGAACCCCGGCTTCACCGTACGTTCTTCCCCACATA